GGGTAGCCCGGCTATGGCGGACGGACTTGGGTGAGGAAGGAAGAAGAAGGGTTGAGGTAGCCCGGCTATGGCGGACGGGTGTGGGTGAAGGAGGAAGAAGAAGGGTCGCGGTGATACGGCTATGGTGGACGGACTTGGGTGAGGTAGGAAGAAGAAGGGTTGGGGTAGCCCGGCTATAGCGGACGGGTGTGGGTGAAGGCGGAAGGAGAAGGGTTGAGGTAGTCCGGCTATGGCGGACGGGTGTGTGTGAAGGCTCGCCTGCCCCATGGTCCGTAACCGATCCTACTCTACCGCCCAACTCCCTACCCCTTATGCCTTCTCTCGCAGGTCATTGAGTTTGGCCTCACGTGCCCCCTTGCAATAGTGAAGACACCCCTTTTGGAACCGTAAATTCCCAAGAGATGAAGCAACGAGAAGTGATCCGTTGATACTTACTCAAGCATTTAGAGCAGCAGAAAAATAGTGTGCACAGCACCCTACCCGTGCACATAGAACAGCAAACTGACAATGTGAACATCATCCCACCCATGCACCTAGAACAGCAAACTGACAATGTGAACAGCACCCTACTCGTGTACATAGAACAACAAACTAACAATGTGAACAGCATCCTACCCGTGCACCTAGTACAGCAAACAGACAATTTGAACAGCACCCTACGCATGCACTAAGTACAGCAAACAGACAATGTGAACAGCACCCTACCCATGCACTAAGTACAGCAAACAGACAATGTGAACAGCACCCTACCCATGCNCACCCTACTCATGCACCTAGTACAGCAAACAGACAATGTGAACAGCACCCTACCCATGCACCTAGTACAACAAACATACAACGTGAACGGCACCCTACCCATGCACATAGTACAGCAAACAGACAATGTGAACAGCACCCTACCCATGCACTAAGTACAGCAAACAGACCATGTGAACAGCACCCTACCCATGCACCTACTACAGCAAACAGACAATGTGAACAACACCCTACCTATGCACTAAGTACAGCAAACAGACAATGTGAACAACACCCTACCCACGCACGTAGTACAGCAAACAGACAATGTGGACAGCACCCTACTTATGCACCTAGTACAACAAACAGACAACGTGAATAGCGCTCTACCCATGCACTAAGTACAGCAAACGGACAATGTGAACAACACCCTACCCATGCACTAAGTACAGCAAACAGACAATGTGAACAACACTCTACCCATGCACCTAGTACAACAAACAAACAATGTGAACAACATCC